TTGGCCGTTATGGTCTTACGAAAAAATGTACTATGAACAACTATATGAACTATATACAAATTATGTACCGATCAGCAAATTTTTTTATACAGCAATACAATAATAAAGCGTGACGAATTTCTGTGCCCCCCCTGACATAAATTTAAATACGTCAAATTTTTACCGGGGAAGTATTCGGCAGGACATTCCCGGTCCAATCAACTATTATGATCAACAATGCATCGGCATTGCCACTTTTCATCACAGATCATTATATAAAAGTTATATTCTTCAATAACAAGGTGTAGCTTTCTAATAGCGCAGAAGCACTTTTTTAATATAACGTACTCACGTCATAGTTTGCTTTTAGAGCTCAGTTTAATTATATAAGAACCTTCGTCTGTGTGTATTCCAACTTGAAGTTTTAACTATAAGAATTTGGCACTGAAATCTTAAAGTACGTACTTGATGGGAAAGTTGGGTGGAGGAAAAAAAAAAAAAGAATCTAATGGCAGTATAGTTGAAAATGTTACTAGCTACCACTTTATGTTCTTTTTCATTAATTTCCTTTGGAAACTGAGAGATTGAAATACAAATAGATCTGTGTAAAGCGATTGTGGTGTAGTATAGGGATCTATGTATTAGAAGTTACAGGATTACATGTAATTATTTTGCAACTAACCATAAATACTATATAATGTTATCATGTAGATTTCCACATATTTTTATACCTTAGTGTAAACAAAAAAAAAAAAAAAAAGAAAAAAAAAACAAAGAAAAAAAAAAAACCCCAAAAAATTTTTTGAAACTAAAACTTTACCCTTTTAGTTGTGGTTTGCTGATAAAATTCTTGTAATTTCGTTCAAATGACTGATGAATTTGATATATATAATGACGACAATTTCGGTGCGAATGGAGACCCAGTACGTTAAGTCTAATTTTATTTTTCTATTTGTTAACTAACATATTAATTTCTTAGTTCCTAAACGAAACAATATTATTTCGACAATAGCATGACGACTTGTATGCAGAGATATTAGAAGATGATGATAGTCGTCCACTAAAGCGCAGTAGGAGAGATAATGACCTTAGTTATGATCACCCAGATATTCATTCTGGTGTACAAGAAGAAAAGGACGGTGATGATGATTTGTTCGCAGATTTCGGGGAAGGTGAAAAGGTTCGTAATTACTTCACAGCGCAGCTAGTACCGATGTTTCTTATATACGTTTTTATATTGTGTAATTAATTCTGGACTGCGCTGTGCCGTATTGTAAGGATGGGAGGAATGTTCTGGTCCAAATTTGCGTTTTTTTTTTTTTTTTTTTTTAATTCTTTTTGTTTTTTATTTTTTATTTTTTATTTTTCTACTTTTTGTTCTTACTTGCTTGGATGTTTGTATTGTTTGCCTGTCTGCATTTGTGTTTCTCGTACTTTCTCTTTCCGAGATTGATTCAATTCTTAAGTGGTAGTTCTGACGTCTTGTTAATTGACAATATCTGTAATAAGGAAAAAAGGATGTATAGCGATGAAATTTTATCAAAAGTTGTATTGAAACCAATCAATTAAAAACAAAAAAAAAAGAAAAAAAAAAAAACAAAACAAAAAGAATTTATGACAAAAAATAAACACACCTGAACTTACTAGTTTTCGCTTTTTTCTCTTCACTCCAATAATCTCGTCAATGATTTATGTAATATTTGCTCGAAATCTTGCTGTCGAATTTAACGCAGGGATATGAAGTAAAATTGGAACCGTCCGAAGAAGATCAATTGCCTGTTGCGCATAATAACTCCCATGAAGGTAATAGGAATGAGTATCTTATGTCCATACAACAAACGTACGATGTTGCGAAGATACTATGAATTTGGATTTTTTCTAAGCACCACAACATTGATCGTTCTTCATCATAGGTCACAACAATCATGTACAACGAGCATCCTCGAGTAGTAGTGTTCAACACATGCAAGAACGTAGGACGGCTGCAAATGCTACAAATGCTTTATATATTGGTGAATTGAACTGGGTAAATTGAAATTTTTTTTTAGCATTGTAAAAAAAAAAAATATGTAATGTTAGGCTGATGCTTTATATTTTATTAGTGGACCACTGACGAAGACCTTCGTAATGTTGCTCGTGAGGTTGGGGTTGCGAATGATGTGACTGAAATCACCTTTTATGAACATAAAGTGAACGGAAAATCTCGAGGGTAAAAAAAATTTTACAAAAGTACATTTACTTTCAAAGCAGTTTTATTATAAAGGCTGAATCATTGTATTTTTTTTCTTTTAATGTAGTGTTGCATACGTTGAATTTACAACGCCAGAAGCGGCAAGCAAGGTTAAAGACAGACTAGAAGAAGTGTGAGTTTTGATCAATGCTTGTCATTTACTATTTTCTTTTAATATATCAGGAAAAAAAAGTTAACCTATTACAAAATTTTTAACTTAGTGAAATAACCGGTAAAAAATGTCTTGTGAATTTTACAAGCTCGGCTAATGGTAATCCGTTTAAAACAGTTCCAAAAGGTAAGTTATCGACATTTTTTATGAAATTTAAAATATAATCATTTTCACTTTAATGTTTGATATTTTTACTCTTACTGTATATATTACTGATTCCAGAACCTCCACCAAAAGCTTCACGCCAGATAATGCAACAGCAATCTGCTTCACAACAAAGAGCCGCATCGGGTCTTCCCATTCGTCCAGTTATGCGACCGGGTTCACTGGATTTTCATCCTCATCCTCGTAGTGGATTCAGAGCCGGACAAATGGTTTCTGGTCCAAGAGACTTTTTCACCCCCCCAATCGCACCAGCATATTCCGGGTTTGCGGCCGGTCGTGGTTCGTATATGAATGGTTTCGCTGGTACCGGAGATGCATCTTTTGCCATGAATCCAATGATGGCACGTGGCGGAATGATGGGTATGAGAAATCAACAAGTTGGACCTGTTCGCCGTGGATTAATGAGCGGTAGAGGTGTAATGCGCGGAGGATATGGTGACGAATTTATGGGCGCTAATATGGGCGGTTTTAATAGTAATTATTTTAACATACATCTTGTAATCGAAAAAAATGGTTTATCTTTATTAAAAATTTACAATATGTTTCGTGTTTAATGGAATTTAAGCACCGACGGGCCCAGGATTTCCAGCACCTCACTTTAATCCAGCATTTTTTGATCAAGGATTTGGCGGCGAAGATGTACCTGTTGCACCGCGAGGACAAAGGTATTTCCCTAAATGATCGACCGCTTTCCTGCAATTTCCGCTATGGAGGACCTTAAAAATTTCCGACTCTTACGATGCATATGATCTTAAATCAAACCACATAGAGGTTACGATGGAGTCACTCATGGTATGAAAAGATCACGTGATGATGATGATCATGGACACATGGATGGAAGAGGTAATTTTTGTTAGACATTTTAATAAAAATGCGCGATCCGAAATATTCGTTCATATATTAAGGAAATAAAGTATTAGTGTATACTTTATTCCCCATTAGACTTGTATAACATTAAAATAACGAATCCACTGATATTGATTGTCACATGTTTCCATTTTATACATCAGATCGTCGATACTGAACTCGAATTAATGTCTCTACCATGTATCCATGTCCCACCATTTTCATTTCATGAATTGACCCATCTAACTTCCAAGTGGCTCGCATCTTTTTTTTTTTTTATATTCTAGATACATAGTTGGAGTTGGATGCGTAAAATTTCTAACCTTGTTTTTTCAAATGCCGAATAATTTTAGTATCCATTATTATCTCTATTTTGCTTAAATTTATTAAAGTACATGACAGTTTATATATAACAAAAAATACTATTATCTTTTATATAATTGTGGCATAAATAAATATATATACAAAATAAAATAATTAACGTTAAAATTTTTTGCAGTTATTTTGTGTTACATATAAAATTTTAAGTTGTAGTACATTAAAATATTAAAATTTCTGGATGATTCCAGTGCAGAATCGATTTTTTTGATAAAGCAGCCTTATTGGCTTAAATTTTATGGTGCAACAATATAAATCCGGAGTTAGAACTCCACGTCGATATAAAAAATCAGTATTTGCTCCTCTCAATTAAAATAAAACCAATTGTATATTTTCATATTTCCCTTTATTAATACTAAACATGCCTATCGATTATAGCAAGTGGGACAAACTTGAACTTAGTGATGACGACGACTTTGAATGTCACCCAAATGTTGACAAAGCCTCTTTTATAAGATGGAAACAAGCTGATATTCATCAAAAACGCGAAGAAAGACGTCAAAAAATTCAGGCTCTTAAGCAAAAAATCGCGCAGAATGAGGTTTTATTTTCTCGAATTGATGATATGATAAAACAGATTGAAAAGGATGGCGTAGATGCATTCTTGAAATCAATAAACGAATTACGCGAAGCAAACAGTAAACTGGAAAACGAAACTAAAAATGATGAATCGACAAATCAGGAAGAAGATAACCCACCCAAATATCCAAGTTTTGATCAAATGATGGCCATGCTATTCGATAAAATTCAGAGTGAAATCAATAATGAAAGTCCCGAAGAAGTTGGTGAAGAATTGGTGAGGAAGTTGAAAGAACATTGTAATAAATTGAGTAAAGATCAAAAAGAAGCTAAAAAAGAATTGGAAAAGGAAGAAAGGGAAGCTAAAAAGAAGATTACTATGGATGACATTCATACAGGCATTAATAGTAGTGTAAGTATATTTTTACGATAAACTTTATTTTAATAAATCAATTGTTAATTTGAAAATACAATATTGTAAACAGATTGTTAACAAAGCTACAAAACCGGAGATACCAAAAAAAAAAAAAAAGGAAAAATCTATTGAAGTACTGAATCCTGATGCAAAGTTAAAACCTCTTGAAGGTGAATCGGTAAGCAAATCAATTAAATATATATATATATATATATATATTAGTCTGACTTGCTATATGTACAGAAACCGGCTGGAAATGATGATGCTGAGGATAATGACGATGACGAAGATGACGAAGATGACGAAGATGACGAAGATGACGACGATGAAGAATTAGTTACATCAGATTTAGCAAAACAGTTTGCAGCTATTAAAAATTATGATGACAGTTACAAATTTATAACTAACCACCCTGAAGTGGTAGATCAAGACATATCAGATCAAATTTTGGGTGAGGCATTCCGTGCGCAATTAAAAGGAAAGGACAAGTATGCCAAACAATGTGTACATCAGGGCTGGTTGTTACAATACTGTCAGAAATTAGGAAAGGATGGTGTTACACTGTTTTTCAAAAGGTATAGGGAATAGCATTGAATTTGTGAAATTTATTTGTATTATACATGTTTAATTAACATTGTTATTTTCTGCAGAATAACGTCACCGGATCCACAAGCACGTGAAGTTTTTTTAAAGGATGTTAATGAGACTTATGAACGTATTCGTGAACGTTGTAAGGTAATGAATGCTGAGAAGACGCAAAGGCCTCAAAAAGCTCAGGTGGAACAAATTCAAATAGAAGTTACCGATCCAAATACTTCTCTCAATGTTCGTATTCCGGATGGAAACTCGGAGGATGAGGATGAAAAAACTAGATATCAAACCTTCCTGAAATTGCCTGAGAATTTCCAAGAAGCCTTAAAAACCGGCGAATTAACAAAGATTAATAAGGTCTTAGGCGCAATGACAGTAGAAGAAGCGGAACGTGTTTTAGACATATGTGGAAAAGCAGATGTTTTGTCACTTGAAGGCGGTATTATTGATGCCACTCAAGGTCAGACTATCCCCGGGCAAGTTATCGATAAAGATGAATAAGTAATACTTGTATTCTATTATTATTATACTAGCGTTTGACTTATCGCGTTGACCCGGATTAACTATTTATTTAAAATATATGTATAAAAATATTTAGTTAAATGCTTAAAATAAAATATTCAAATTTATAAATATTTATTACTGTATTTTAGTTCATTTATTTAGTATATAAAAAGAATAAACACATTTACAGCTGTTCTTATAAACTCTGGGACAAATTAAAATTTTGTTCGTTATCCAAAATCTTTTCGGTTTCATCCTGAAAATTATCTAGCTCCCCGGAAACTACATCGCTATCTTCGAACTTTCATTCCGGAGACAGCGATGCAGTTTCTGGAGTTAGGTAATTTACAGGACGAAACCGAAAGATTTCGGGTAACAAGCAAAATTTTTAATTTGTCCCAGAATTTATGAGAACAGCTGTAATAAACTGAATATACAGGTAATGGTGGGACAATCATGTTAAAAATTAGTGATACTTAATTGTCGCATTTAATACTTTATACAGTCGACTCTGGATATAACAAACCTCTATATAGCGAACTCTGGATATAACGAACCCAAAAATTTAAAATTCCATAATAGTTCAGTATAGAAAATGCTATGAGCCTTTAAGAAAACATTGTAATTTCCTATAACGAATTTTTTTTTCGTTATAGAAAGAGTTAACTGTATTTTTCAATAGATTACGGCGTGTAATAGTTGAATTTTTAACATCCGTAGCCCCATAGCTACGATTAAGTGCACAACTCCATACGTGCAAATTCTCATTATAAGTGCGAGTTTTTTGTTGCCACTAAAATTTTATACTTTCATTACATTATCATATATCATTCTATCAAAGTAAATTTCAAAAAGCAAAATTTATAAGTACAGTGGTTCCCGGGAGTCTATGCTTAGTGAAAATTCACTGTACTTTGTTACCGGCTTGAATGTTTTACTTAATTGAAAAAATTGTAAAATACCTTTAGTTAAATCGTATAAGGATCTCTAAGTCGACTTATTGAACTAATCATTGTATTTAACGTGTGAACAATTACATACCGCCATTGGCACGAAAGTTTGAGAAGCAGCAATTATTCGTTCTTTAGATCCCTTGATGACAAGGAACGATCAACAGTTCCGATCTTACTTTCTACATTAAAGTACTTTCTATAAAAATTTTTTATAATTAAATACAAGATATCTAAGTACTTTACAAAATAAAATATCCAGATATATATTAACTATATAGCATATATATATTTATTTATATATACTGTATGTATTTTTTTTTTTAAGGTGAGGTCATGCTTTGTGTTTTTATTAATATACAGTATATTATATTATATACAATGTTATATATCTATATATTGAAAGATTATGAAATTTAGATTACTTTATCTATAATCTAAAGCTACTTGACTATACTTGTTATTAGAAAATTTTTTGAGGAGATATATAACGATTATAATCAAGTTAATCGGTTAGTATTGATAAATTTTAATCAATTACAATTGATAAAGAGGTTACTAATCGATTAGAAACACTATCGATTATATTCGATTATAGATATATATCGATTAATATCGATATAAATTATTGTTACAGATTATCGTGAAATCAGATTATCGTGAAATTTGGGGGTCTCGATTTGAAAATATAAGCCCTACC